AGCTCTGTCTGCGTACTCAATAGTTCACTCCGAACGAATGACCTGAAATTTACAGGTTACGTGTGAGGCGAGCACTTTGGCAACTCTAAACGTTAAATCTCCAAATGAGATGACCCCCAGTGGCACAGCGGTATGTCCGTGGACTTACAACGCTAGAATCCGGGTTTCGATACCTGTAGTGGGCAGAGCACAGAAAGCCCATTGTGTAGTTTTGTGCTTAATTACAAACAAACCAGATAAGACGTTGTAAACGAGAAACGACTCCCAGCTTCGTATAATTCCCTCTTACTTTAGATTATCGAAAATAATATGAAACAACTTTCTGATAACGTATACGAAATCATACTGAGATGACCTAATTATTATTTTTTTTTTACTTTAACTAGGCTTATTTTAAATATCATTCATTAAACGTTTAAATGAATTAGGCCCAGCTTTTTCTCGGGTGCTTTTTACACTTGTTTCTTTAAAAAAAAACACAAGTAAAGAATATTTACTCTTAATTTATCTTTTTCTATCAACAGGTTCTAGAACTCATGAGTTTTTAGTTACAGTAATATCTTTCTAGATGGCGCTGTAAGTCAAACTTCTTTGAGATTATCGTCAAGCAAGAGGTTAGTGTCTCTCAAAGATCCCACTCGTCTTTTTTTTTGATATTATTTAAATCTTATTACCAAAAGAGGACAATAAAACTCGTTTAATCCTCTTCCTGCAGAGACTTGCCCCTTGAGCAAGAAACGCCCTCTGGTGGCTTAGTAAGTAAATTCACCTGGAAATACGATTAATTGTAAAAGGCTTAAGAACAATGAGAATGTTTCATTTGATCACAAACAGACTTTAGAACTCTCAGATATGTTCTTATACTCAAGCTTAATAAGATTACAAGAGTTTCTTACGTGAGGATTAAAATGTGACTATAAATAAACGAGATAATCTTTTAACAGTTAATCCACTGGTATGACTCAGGCGGGAGATTAAATCATGTCATTTCTGCAAACTGCTCTCCTCAAATTGCTCCCCACACCCTCGCTCATTGTCCCCAACATAACCTGACAACTGGCACAGTAACGATGCTGTTATTTGACAAAGACGAGGGGTCGCTGTACCCAATCGTCTAAAATATAGGGGGATGAACTAACCGCTACGGAAAAATTATATAATTTTATACATTATGACGTCAGAATCTGTGTCAGATATTAAACAAAGAAACAAAAAATTTAGCTGCAGGTCAATAGGTCAAACCCTAGTTTAAACCGCTACCTGTTCTGACAGCACGTGGTTTCGATTGTGGTGATAAAAACAACACGTGTTCTTTGTGACAAAGGAATTAATGGCGTGCGTACCTCACGTTTCATCTTATCTAAATTCCCTTACGATTTCCTAAAAGACAACTACACCCCCCTAAAAATACAATTGGGGTTTTAATTAAGTTGATGAAAAGTTTCCCGAGAACCTCTTAAAATATTCCTACTAAATGGACGTAGCATGTATGTCAGTATCTATGTATGTAACCAAAACTCCTGCGCCATCTATTGAAAGGCACCACAAACAAAAATCCCTAAAATATTTCACACTTTAGGTATTCAAGATACTAATGTAGCTTCAATGAAGTATGAATACTACGATTAGACAAACATGGCGATATTTTAGATAGTACTTAAGTATTTGTGTGTAAAGCCAGCCGCCCATCGAAATAGACGACTTATGAAGCCTCCATCTTTAGTACACCTAGCGTCCAAAATCCTAAACTTTTCAATGTTTCTATTTAACCTTGCGGTATCATAAGGAAGGCCCAGTACTTCATAACCTTGTGTACTACCAGAACCAGATTAAGACCAAAATCGGCCCATAGGCAATTGTGAGCCCCTCTCCCCCTTGTTTTGCATTGACATTTTACTAATGAAAATGTACCATTTTACAAATATTACAGTTTCTAACTTGAAACTTAACTAAGAAGGCTAATCAAAGAAAAATTAATTTCGGTTAGTTTAGGGGCAGTCTACTAATTGCATATTAAATTAAAACAAAAAAGTAGCCACTGAGGACCCCTTGAAACCTTGGACTCATAGGCATCTGCCGCCCCCAAGTGGCAGAGCAGTATGTCTGCGGACTTATACTGCTAGAAACCGGGTTTCGATACCCGTGGTGGACAGAACACAGATAGCCCTTTGTGTAACAAAGAACAACAGTGTATGTATATCTGCGCACGTACACAAATATAAACCAATTTACGTGAAACTTTATAGGAGATAGGGTGTCCCTGTAGGATGGTCTCCCCCAAATCTGGTCCAAATTCGGATTCTGGATCATTTTGAAACATTTTTATAATAGAGATTTAAGGCATTTTCTCGGTTTGTTGATAATAACTGTGTAAAAAATGATCGGATTAGGATCGAATTTCAAGCGCACATTGAAACCCCAAATCCACAAATTTGCGGCGGGGCGAGGGGGTATACAACCTCTCTGATTGCTCTTGTTATAAAAAGGTTACGTTACCTAGAAGTAACATTGTTCAATTGAGAAACCAACAAAATAATTCCCTGGTTTATTTAGACTGTTGCCTGGAAGTAAGAGAGAATTCAATTACAGCATTGAAGCATTTCCATGTGTATTGGGCAACAATGATAGATTTGTTACCTGTTGGGCAACAATGAAAGATTTGTTACCTGTACGTTACAATGTATAATTAGTTGAAACCAAAACACAGAATCACCTATAAATTTTTCTTTAGAAACACGAGACTGTGAATCCGGGGGTTCATACTTCGCGTTCTGTTGCCGCAGAAACGTGCTCCGCACTTTAGAGACTTGGTGAGCTGTAAGAGTGGCGGTCAGATTTTACTCTTTCATTAGACAAGAGTAGTCCAAAAGTTGGCGGTAGGTGCGATATACTAGCTGTCTTTCCTCTATACTACCAGTTCAAAGTTAGGGACGACTATGCGCACGTGGCCATTGTGTAGCTTTATGCGAAAACTTTTAATTAGGAATATTTATATGAGTCAGAATCACAATAGATGTTTTATAAAAAAACTATCTTGACTACATATGAGGCTAACGTTGTGTTTGTTTAACAAGCTATTAAAATATTCTGGACACATTGTTAAAAATATTATAAATACCCTAAGACGAAGACAAAGAAACTAATTAGATTAATTTTAAATAAACTTTGGAGCAACGAGTGGAACGGAAACCTAATCAAACAAAACATTTGGATATTATACTGATCAGATTATATTGACATTATACTGATCAGATTACATTGATCAGACTACAATGATATACTGATCAGATTACATTGATATTATACTGATCAGATTATATTGACATTATACTGATCAGATTACATTGATCAGACTACAATGATATACTGATCAGATTACATTGATATTATACTGATCAGATTACATTGATATACTGATCAGATTACAATGATATTATACTGATCAGATTACAATGATATTATACTGATCAGATTACATTGATCAGACTACATTGATATACTGATCAGATTACATTGATATTATACTGCTCAGATTACACTGATCAGACTACATTGATATTATATTGATCAGACTACAATGATATACTGATCAGATTATATTGATATTATACTGATCAGATTATATTGATCAGACTACAATGATATACTGATCAGATTACATTGATCAGACTACACTGATATTATACTGATCAGACTACAATAACATACTGACCAGATTATATTGATCAGACTACACTGATATTATACTGATCAGACTACAATAATATACTGATCAGACTATATTGATATTATACTGATCAGACTACATTGAATCTTCAGTAAGTACTTTCTCAGTTTTCGATGTTTTCAGTTATAATTCCTAATGTCCGTCAACCTGCCCCCCAGTGTCTCAGCTGTAAGTCTGCAGACTTACGACGCTAAAATTCTGAGTTCGATACCCGTGGTGGACAGAGCAAAGAAAGCCCATTATATAGTTTTGCGCTTAACAAACAACCTAACAAATCGTTCACCCGTTTATATCACCCGGGATTATGACGTTATAGAAACCAGTGGTCTAACGTGTCTAAACAGTTTCTCCGTTAAAATGTTAAAGACTGGGTAAGAACAATGAAACAGAAGGGTTTACGACATCTGATATGATCATTCCTATATCATTATCTTAACGTGTGAAACCATTTTTATGACTACAGAAACATACACACGTATACACTGTCTATAAGATTATATTTTAGGCTTTCAAAATTTCGATAGTTTATCGTTCGGCTATTATAGCTTTTAACTGTTTAT